TGCGGTTTTACCGCCCCCAACAACCTCACGTGTGAGCAAGCCCTGTCGCTGACGAGTGAATGCGGCCGCTCTGCTTTACACGCGGTTGTGGTGCGCTAGTGCGGCAATCAAGGGGTTAAAGCACTCAATGCGAATGCTCTTTAGAGACCAAAGCTCAAGAGAACGAGCCCTTAGCCCGGGTTCACACTGATGCGGTGCGGAATTTGCAGCGTTTTCTGTGCGAATTCCACACCGCATCAGAATTGCACCCTGTTCATGTGAACCGATGCGGGTGTCTGTTGCATCAACAACACCCCGAAATCGGTCCGCAAAACGCGTTGCGATGCGCAGAATCGGATCGTATAGGTGTGAATACCAATGCGATCTGATTCTAGTGCAGACCCAAAAAAGGGTCCTACACCCTTTTGGTGCGGGTGCAGTGCGATTCGAGCCATACATAATGTAAGGCTCCAATGGCACCGCACACAAATCACATGTGATTTGCGCAGGAATGTGGTGCGGTTCCTGTGCGAATCACATGCGATGTACCGCACCGCAGAAGTGTGAACCTAGCCTCAAAGTGCAGAACAGGAAAGGATCAGCTCACAGGATTTTTGGCGGGATCAACGGGTGTTATTGTTTGAACAGATCTCAATAACTCCGCCCGTATCTTTCCTCGGTCACCCGCCATGTTGTCAGAGCAGATGTTGCGTCCCATTGACACCATGCCCCCTTGTCTCGCTCTTCCTCCTGCCATCCCCTGGATCCCCCATCCTCTCCGGGTATTCTGGTTACCGTGGTGATGGCTCACTGGATCCCAGGGCAGTACATGGAGCTTGTAGACTGAGCGGGCCTGGAGGACAAGGCAGAGCAATGGAGCTTGGAGGGGCTGCAGATTTGGTGAAGTGGTGAGAGATGGTGGAGGGTCCTGACTTACCCCCCCAGGGGACAGATGGGACCACCATTAGAAACCAATAGACGCTGTACTGGGAATACTCACAGGCAGGCCCCGGGCCTAGTATGAGATTTCGGCCTGTACCCCCTTAACACCAGTCCTGGTATATTCAGTAAACCAAAAAGGAGCCAGTAAGAGACAGCCATTGTTAGAGATTAGGGTTGCGATTGTTGCTCTGCCCCCAAACCCCCCTGCGGAATTTTCCGGGTCCCGCTATGATGTTCTTTGGCCATTTGGCCCGTTCCCCCTGAATGCAGTCACCCGTGTATTTCCTCATCAATAAACGCAGATAACGACAATAGTTTTCTATGTGTCATGCTTACACCAGAGGGCTGTGTTTCTCTGTTTTCCATGGCTGTGCGATATTATGCAACTTGTTTGCGTAGGATTGCACTACAAAGAAAAGAAACGCGTGTAAACATGAACCCACTACCGCAGCACACCTCGCACATGAAAATGCTCAAAAAATGACTGTGTATTGCTTTATTTATGTATTTCAGGTACTTATATAGTGCCGTCACTGTACGCAGCACTTTACATATATAATGTACATTCACATCAGTCCCTAACCCTCAAGGGGTGTACAATCTAAGGTCCCTAACTCACATTCATACATACACATACTAGGGACAATTTAGACAGGAGCCAATTCACCTACCAGCATGTCTTTGGAGTTTGGGAGGAAACCGGAGTACCTGGAGGAAACCCACGCAGGCACAGGGAGAACATGCGAACTCCAGGCAGGTGGTGTTGTGGTTGGGATTCGACCCAACAACCCCAGTACTGCCAGTGCTTTCCAGTGGAGTGTGATTTTATGTGGATTAAATGGCTATGGGTTCTTTAACCACGTCCCACCCACCATATAGTAATATGACGGGCGCAAGGTGGTTCTCTTGTTCTGGGAGGACGTCATATGACGTCCTCCCATTCTCACCACGCATGTGCGGCTCAGGGAGCGCGAGGGACACAGCGGATCACCAATCACGGAAAGAGCCCAAGGTGTCGGCTCGGTCATGTGATCAGCTGTGTCCAATCACAGCTGATCACATGTAAACAGGGAAATGCCGGTTATCGGCATTTCTCTCCTCTCGAGCTATCAGGCTGACAGAGGAGAGGAGAGCCGGTAATCTGCATTCCACAGAGGGGACATGTACACTGATCATCAGGACACTGATGATCAGCGTAGCCCCAGCAGTGCCACCTGTCAGTGCCAGTGCCCATCAGTGCCACATCAATGCCACATATCAGTGCCCATCTGAGCTGCCTTTCAGTGTCACCCATCAGTGCCAGTCAGTGCCACCTATCAATACCAATCAGTGCTTTCAATCAGTGCCACCTGTCAGTGGCGCCTATCAGTGTCAGTCAGTGCTGCCTTTCAGTGCCCATCAGTGCCACCTATCAGTGCTGCCAATTGGTGCCGCCTATCGGTGCCAGTTAGTGCTGCCTATCAGTACCATGTATCAGTGCTGCCTTTCAGTGCCCATCAGTGATGCCTGTCAATGCCCATCAGTGCCCCCTACCAGTGCCTCCTCATCAGTGCCACCTATCAGTGCCCCCTCATCAGTGCCACCTATCAGTGCCCATCACTGCAGCTTCATTAGCGCACATCAGTGAAGGAGAAAAATCACTTATTTACAACATTTTATAACAAAAACTAAGAAAAAACTTTTTTTTTTTTTAAACATTTTCAGTGGTTTTTGGTTTGTTTAAGAAAAAATAAAAAACCCAGAGGTGATTAAATACCACCAAAATGAAGCTTTGTCACAAAAAAATGATAAAATTTTTATATGGGTGCAGTGTTGCATGACCGCGCAGTTGTCATTCAAAGTGCGACAGCGCTGAAAGCTGGAAATTGGCCTGGGCAGGAAGGGGGTATAAGTGCCCTGTAGGCTAGTGGCTAAGGGGACAAAATAATAAAAACTATATATACAGTGTTCAAAAAAATGAAATCAGAGAGGTGTATGACCTAAAAGCAATTCTCATAATTTTATAATTTGTGGTCCAACAAATTTGGTAAAAGGCTTCTATCGTTGAATACACAGAAGCATATTTATATGTCATATACACAGCTCAAAAAAAAAATCAAAGGAAGACTTTTTAATCAAAGTTTAGCATCAAGTCAATGAAACTCCTGGGATATTGATCAGGTCAGTGAAGTAGCAGAGGGGGTTGTTAATCAGTTTCAGCTGCTTTAGTGTGTAATTAGCAACAGGTGTTCTAGATGGGAAACAATGAGACGACCCCCAAAACAGCAATGGTTTTACAGGTGGAGGCCACTGACATTTTTTTCCCTACTCATCTTTTCGGACTGTTTCTCACTAGTTTTGCATTTGGCTAGGGTCAGTGTCACTACTGGTAGCATGAGGCCATACCTGAACCCTACAGAGATTGCACAGGCAGTCCAACTCCTCCAGGATGGCACATCAATACGTGCCATTGCCAGAAGGTTTGCTGCATCTCCCAGCACAGTTTCAAGAGCATGGAGGAGATTCCAGGAGACAGGAAGTTACTCTAGGAGAGCTGGACAGGGTGGTAGATGGTCCTTAACCCATCAGCAAGACTGGTATCTGCTCCTTTGTGCAAGGAGGAACAGGATGAGCACTGCCAGAGCCCTACAAAATGACCTCCAGCAGGCCACTGGTGTGAATGTCTCTGACCAAACAATCAGAAACAGACTTCGTGAGGGTGGCCTGAGGGCCCGACATCCTCTAGCGGGCCCTGTGCTCACTGCCTGGCACCAAAGAGTTCGATTGGCATTTGCCATTGAACACCAGAATTGGCAAGTCCACCACTGGCGCCCTGTGCTTTTCACAGATGAGAGCAGGTTCACCCTGAGCACATGTGACAGACGTGAAAGGGTCTGGAGAAGCCGTGGAGAACGTTCTGCTGCCTGTAACATGGTTCAGCATGACCGATATGGTGGTGGGTCAGTGATGGTCTGGGGAGGCATATCCATGGAGGGACGAACACACCTCTACATGCTAGACAATGGCACCCTGACTGCCATTAGGTATCGGGATGAAATCCTTGGACCCATTGTCAGACCCTACACTGCAGTATGTGTGAACAAGGCTCACCAACAACAGTTAGGTCAGAGGAAACATGCGTTTGGGGGAAAAAAAGAACTATGCAGAAAAGCATGCATAAAAATGCTCAGAAACACGCATACAAATACATTGAAACTTTCAGAAGCACAATTACACAATTAACTGTGGGTGTGTTTTTTATGTGGTGTGGAAAACAAAACTTTTTATTCCATTGACAACTTTTTTTTTAAGTTGAACTCCAGTTATCAGGGCTGGGCCGAGGGTTAGGCTGCTTGCACACTGCAGCGCTTAAAGCCAAAAAAAAAAAAAAAAGGCATAGGGCGTTCTAAAAGTTTTGAATTACAGCCCCTATGCATAAATACCTAGTTGTTAAGGATGCCGTTGGATGCCAGCTCCTTAACAACCAGCTCTTTATTGGTTACAGCGGTTTCTGACTCCTTAACAACCAGCGGCTGGCATCCTTCGCAACCAACGAAGAGCCGGTTGTTAAGGAGCTGGAACCCAATCCTTAACAACCAGTGGTAAGGTGTCCCTATCAGTGGTCAGCATGCTCCAGCTGCTCATGTGCAGGAGTGATGCCCACCTCCGGAGGGGGTAGGAGCCAGAAAGACAGCAGGGAGGTGGATGACGCGGTTCAGCCTGGAGCAGAATGTAAAGGGAGTGGGGGTGGTGGGGCATCTGGATGGCTATGCAGAACTCCCACGCTACCCAGACGGGGGTTAGAGGGGCATGGGGGGGGGTATTGTTTGCCTATCCGCTGATTGTTAAGGAAGCCAGCATGTCCTGGCTCCTTAACAATCAGCTATTCACTGGTTGTTAAGGACACCTGTGGGTGCCCGCTCCTTAACAACCAACCTGTTTTTTCCACGTGACCCCAAAAACGCACCTAAAAATGCACCCTAGCTGCATTTTTTGTTGCATTTTTCATTGACTTCAATGGAAGGTGCAGGACTTGTAGCCTATGCTGCAGACTCGGTTTACATCTCATTGGTGGTGGTTGAAGGGGGGGGGGGGGGGGGGCACTTTAACCTTTTTGCCTTGGGTACTAAATTACTTTGTCCCAGCACTGCCAGTCACCATACATTATATTGCATCATATTCCTCTTGTGTTTTATCATTTCTAACCCAGACTTTTCTTCTCTTTAGGATCCAAAAGATGGCGGGCGACGGATGTATGAAAGTGACCAAATACTTCCTGTTTCTATTTAACCTCCTGTTCTTTGTAAGTACCACTTATATAAGGGAATATAGAGTCTCAAAACCCAGCTTCCCCTTTCTCTCCATATCAGCCAGGTCGTCTCTGGAATTCTTGAAAGTCGTCCCTTGAAAACTGTCTGTAGTCTGTAATGATGGCCAGATACCTCTGCTCTATTTTGTAGATATCTGTCAAACCACTTATAGCGGAACTTCTCTCAATCACCATTAACTATTTGGAATCCTTATGCTGGTAGCATTAGTAACCAGGAATGCAATAGGTGAAAAGAGATTCACCAAAAAAGAGGTCCCAGAAAAGGACAAAAACTGCGGTTTAAACCAGTCAAATGTAACAATCTTTATTGGACATATCAAAGCAAACCAAAAACGGTTCCCCCTACACCCAGTGCCATTAAAAATGACAATGCTGTAATTTTTTAATATATATACTGTGGTCCCAAGGACGCCACCCCTTATCTTTTGTTTTGGGGCGATCTGGTAGCCTGCACTGTGTGTGTGTGTGTATACAGTTGTGTCCAAAATTATTCAACCCCCAATGCTGTAAAGGGGTTTAGGGACTATAGTGTACATTTGGAATTGTATTCAGAATCAAATCCTACAAGGACGTTGTAACTACCCAAATGCAACTAAAATGACATCAATTGTTTATGTAATACAGTAGTAAATGGTTCTTATGTGGTTTCTTCATTGCCACAATTATTCAACCCCTTAAAGACTACCACTCTGAAGAACAGAGGTTCATACAGGTGCTTTCCATCAGGTATTGAAAACACCTGTGGATGTCACCGAGCAGCAATCAAGCATAATAAGCACCAATTAGGCAGCTTTAAAATGACTGTGATACTCAGCTCCTTCTAGACATTTACTGGTGTGGTTACAAACATGGTGAATGCAAGAGAATGGTCCAGGAAGACAAGAGAAGAGGTGATTTCTCTTCACAGGAAGGGCAATGGCTATAAGAAGATTGCAAAGATGTTAAACATACAAGAGACACCTTAGGAAGCATCATTCGCAAATTCAAGGCAAAGGGCACTGTTGAAAACGCTACCTGGTCGTGGCAGAAAGAAGATGCTGACTTCGACTGCTGTGCGCTACCTGAAGCGTAGAGTGGAGAGAAGTCCCCGTGTGACTGCTGAGGAACTGAGAAAAGATTTGTCAGATGTGGGTACAGAAGTTTCAGCCCAGACAATAAGACGCACACTGCGTAATGAAGGCCTCCGTGCCAGAACTCCCAGGCGTACCCCCTTGCTGTCTCCAAAGAATAAGAAGAGTCGACTGCAGTATGCCAAAAGCCATGTGGACAAACCACAAAAGTTGTGGGATAGTGTTCTGTGGACTGATGAAACAAAATTAGAACTGTTTGGGCCCATGGATCAACGCTATGTTTGGAGGAGGAAGAACAAGGCCTATGATGAAAAGAACACCTTGCCTACTGTGAAGCATGGTGGAGGGTCAATCATGCTTTGGGGCTGTTTTGCTTCTGCAGGTACAGGGAAGCTTCAGCGTGTGCAAGGTACCATGAATTCTCTTCAGTACCAGGAGATATTGGATGGAAACGTGATGCAGTCCGTCACACACCTGAGGCTTGGGAGACGTTGGACCTTTCAACAGGACAATGATCCCAAGCATACCTCCAAGTCCACTAGAGCATGGTTGCAGAGGAAAGGCTGGAACATTTTGGAGTGGCCATCGCAGTCACCAGACTTAAATCCGATTGAGAACCTCTGGTGGGACTTAAAGAAAGCAGTTGCAGTGCGCAAGCCTAAGAATGTGACTGAAAACTGGAGGCCTTTGCCCATGAAGAATGGGCGAAGATACCCGTAGATCGCTGCAAGACACTTGTGTCAAGCTATGCTTCACGTTTAAAAGCTGTTATAACTGTAAAAGGGTGCTGTACTAAGTACTAAGATTGAATGTCACTTGGGGGTTGAATAAAAACTGATAATGCTGTGAGCACAGAAAAGACATTTGTGGTTATTTCATTATAACTGTTATGTTATATTTGTCTGACCTACAAGTGCCTCTTTAATGTAAATGTAAGCAAGATGACTGAATGATCAAAAGCAATGTCAAACTGGCCAAAACACTCAATTTCAGTGGGGGTTGAATAATTTTGGACACAACTGTATGTGTATATATATTAGTGTGTGTATATGTGTATATAATGTGTGTGTGTGTGTGTATATGTGTATATATACAGTGGGGATCAAAAGTTTGGGCACCCCAGCTAAAAATTTGTATTAATGTGCATAAAGAAGCCAAGGAAAGATGGAAAAATCTCCAAAAGGCATCAAATTACAGATT